AGCCGCCACAAGGGCGTCCCCTCTTCCGGCTCCATCCCCGAGCAGGGCTGGCGCCTGGTCACGTGACAAGGCCCGCCGCTCCTTCCTAGCGGGTCACCCACGTGACTGCAGGCTGGCGCGGGCGGGGCTCGGCGCTGCAGGAGCCCCCGTGCCCCTGCGCAGAGCCGGGGAAAGCGCTGCAGCAGGAGTGGATGTGTTAAAACGCCCTCTTGCTGTTATTTCCAAGGCAAGTTTGCGGTCTCTCAGTGCAGCCGGCGACTCTGCCCGGGCTCTACCGACTTTCTCAGTGCTCTTTGGAAACCAGTAAGGATAGCCACGTGCAGGGGCGCCCCCGAGGCCCTCGTGTCCTAGGTCTGACGTCGTCTCCCAGGGTAAGGCACCTGGTCTAGAAGGCACATGAAGGGCTTAGCCATCAGAAGGTCGTTTACATAGATCATGCATAGAAAAAGGTAGTGTGATTATCTCCATTTGCGGATAGCAACTGTGACCCCCGCAGTCCCTAGGGTCAGATTTGTCCAGTAGTAATAGCGGGTACCCAGTTGCATGTGAAATTTCGGGTGAACTAGAACTATGTTGTTCCCAGCATGTCTTAACTATTGCATGGGATCTACTCATACTTCCTTTTTTTTTGTTTTTGGAGAGATTTTCACTGTAGGGCGCGTGCGCTCGCCAGACAGACAGAGACATAGAGACAGAAAGCGAGAAATCACCCCCCAGGGGGGATGGTCACGCCGCAATCCCTTCTCCTCTATTCTCCTCTCGGGATCTTGGGCACGCACGCACACGCGCCTGGTGTGAGTTTTTTTAAGCCACCGGGTCCGGGACGTGAACCGCGGTCGACTACGTGGGAGTCCAGCGACATAGCCATTACGCTAACTGCTGGTTCCCACTCATACTTACTTTTTGAAATGCAAATATAACTGGGCGTTCTGTGTTTTATCTGGCAATCTTAGGCACGCAGCTAAGTAAGAGACACAGCTGAATTTAAACAAAATCAAGCGCTTGAGAGCCACACTCATAACGTTTCCTAAGCCTAAAGCCCAGTATCCTCCTGTTTTTACCCTCGTTATTATTACAGCTGCTTAATCAGGTGTGCACTTCCACTATGACGAAACCGTAAAAAAATTACCACTTTCTAACTCTTACTACAGATAGATATTTACAACTCTCAGTGCCCCAGTGAAATGTAATTGTCTTTAGACACTTTATCTGTAAATAGCTCTCCAAATAATATTTAAAATGATTCTGGAAAAGTTCCAACTATCATAAGACTGCCACAGACATGTCTACTGGTAGGGAAGGTCTGCCTTCAGGGAAAAATACCTAAACTTTACATATGATAGTAATTAGACAAAATATGTGTCAAGCACCCACTGTATGTCAAACACTTCATTAATTTTATCTTAATCCCCGCTACAACCTTGCATGGCAGGAACTATCTGTATTTAAACTGGAAACAAGCTTAGAGAAGTAGTAGATACCTCGCCCGAGGTCACAGAGGTAGTGTAGGTTAGGCGTTCTCAATCCCACACGCTCAAATCTGAAATGCTGCAAAATCTGAGCCGTTTCCATCACCAACACAACACCACAGT